GCATGTTTGCCGACTGGTGAGCCATTCGCTCGCACACCGGACACCAACATGCATGATGCGTTGCTAGGGTGTCTGGCCTTGACACAAGCATGTGGAGCAGGCCCCGCAAGTTTGCTGCTAGCACTAAGCCTTGGTGCGTAGAATATATAGCAGCGCCCAGCACAACAAGCAGCCTGTATATTTCCGTGGCTTGCTGTTACAAACTAGTGTGGCATGGGCCAGCAAGGCAGGCCCAGCCAAGGGACTAAGCGCTAGCCAGTAGCCTTGGTAATTAAGGCAGTTAGACAGCTGGTCGGTTATGATAGAGCCCGGTTTGTGTGAGGTGGGATTGCTTGGGGAGCAAGGGGATTTATTGTCCTCCCTTGTGGCCCTCACCTACCCTCGCTCACCATTTTCCACTTGTTGTTTGCCAATTGATTTATGAAATGAGTTTAATTTGGAAATAAATTAATACTCATTTTCTCATTTCAACAACTCTCCCACATGGAAAGTTGATTGAAGTTTTTACGAGCATTTCCCTATAAATACGCACCTTAGGTATTGGAATTATTCACTTGAGTTGAACTCAATAAGGTATTTCCAAAAAGAGTGAGAAAGCCTTTAAGTTCGTAGAACTTTAGTTTTGCTCGGTCTACCCTCGTCTAAGCTACGAGGTAGGGGCCAGTTCAGGTGCGAGGGTGTGAGACGGAGGAGAGCTTACACTTGTGGGTCTAAAGGTTTTTCATGTTCGTGCTCGGGATTCGTGAGAAGCACGCGTCAAGGGTGAGCAAGTCTTATCCTTAGTTTCTCTCTCTTCCCTTTATGTGTTTATGGTTTCAATAGTTGTATGTTAGTTTCTTTAGTTGTAATTATTATGCATACGATCCTTTTTGCGGGTTTTGTTTCCGCGTGATGTCGGACACCATAAAACCCAATAGCAGTATAAGAGCCTCCTGCATTTCATTTTACAACTAAAAATTAATTAAGGTGATTTAAAATGGAATTAAATATCTAGATTATCATCTTAATTAGATTAGGACCTCGTCTTTTTAATTGGATTAAATTCATATTATTGCTAATCTTGGATTACGAACTCGGATTTTGACACAAAAATAGTGTTTTTTTTTTGTGTGTGTGGAATCAACGTTCTAAATCATACTTTACCCACAAAGTAATTAAACTTGGCCTTCCAGAAGCCAAAATCCACCTAGAAAGTGGTTTTTCAAATGGTTTTTTTCATTTCGAACGAAAAATTTTAAATTTTTATACCTTGATTAACATGACATGAAATTGTTGGATTATGTGTTTGATGATACTATTAAACATCTAAAGTTTATATCTAAAGTGGTTTTTCAAATGTTCTAAATCAATCCCTTATTGGTTGCTTAATTTAGATAGCTCTTAATTTCACATAAACTTGGAATGAATTTCTCATTCTTGCAAATTAATTGCTTATAATGTGAGGTTTATGTTGAAAATGATTTTGAAACCCTTAAAATATTATAAAAAAAATAAATCTTTAATGGCTTAAATGGTTGAATCTTAACTTGCTAAAATCCAATGTGAACAAATTTTGAGTTTGAATCATTTTGGAAGTTGATTAAAATCATGAAGGTTCATACTTGTGCTTGAAAAATTATCCTTAATAATGAAAAGTTGTAATATTCAAATATGCATAAGTAAGTGTTCGATAAATTTTTTTCATTGGATGATTGATTATTTATTCAACTAATTTTTGTCAAATCGTATTATTAATTTTATTTTGGCTGAAATAATTATGAGATAAACCCTCAATTATTATTGCATCAAGTTGAGCAAAAATTATTATAAGAATGGCTCTTGAATTAATTTTGGTTTGTGCACTTAAATTGAATTTAATTAAGTTGGACTTGTTTTAATTTCAAAATAGCTCAAATACTAGTTCTAAAATCCAATTTAGAATTAATTTAGAGGCACACAAAAAATCGCCATAAAATCCTAAAGCACATCAAGTAAAATCAAAGCATGTTGCTGCCAACATGTTGCTGCCGAGCCAGGTGCGTGAGTGTGTGAGAGCAGATGCAGTCAGTGGAGTGGGAGTGGTGTGGCAAGCAGCAGCCAGCAAGCACTGCTAGGCAACACCTAGCTCGCAAAGGCCAAGGCTACTAGGCAGCGCACAATGCGAGCACTAGCAGGCACAACAACACATTGCCATTACCAGTAGCATGTTAATGTATACGTGATAATAAATTGCATGAAGGCGCAACTATATAGGTGTAGACACCCAAATGTGTCTCCCCAAAACCAACCCAATGATGAATACCTTTCACGTCATTTGATTATGAAACGAAGTAAAAGTGTTAAAAGTCTAGTGATGTGGTTGTTTTTATTAAAATATTTCTCTTTCTGCTTTTGAAAATATTTCTTTTTACACTTTATTTATGAAAATAGCAGTGCAATTTAGTTTGGTCTATGATAATGGTCCAATAATAGTGTAGTTGGGTTGGGTTCGAAAAAAGATTTTCAACGATATATTATAAGCCCAATTCCGATGAATAATGAGAAAGTTATGGCCAAAATACTAAATTGGGCTTGAAATGAACTTTATATGTGGCCCAATGATATAGATAAGGGCCTATTAATTATTATTCCTAAGGTTATTAGGATTGATTTTAATCTTCTAGAATAATCTAGAAGGTTCCTTTAAATTCTAATGAGATTAGGATTGATAATTATATTTTAAAGGGTTTTATTAGGAATAAAATTAGTGTTTTATCATTAAAATCTGATTTTAATCTGATCAATGCGAAATTAGTTGCTTAATCATATTAAGAAGAGGATTCCGCGTACAAAATGGTCTTATCTTTTAATTAGCGCCAAACGACAGAGTTTGTCGCCAGACGACAGAGTCTGTCGCCTGGCGACAGATGCCAGTTGTTGACACCCATTTGTGTCTCCCCAAAACCAAACCCAGTGATGATTACCTTTCGCGTCGAATCATAATTGAATGAAGTGAAAGTGTGAAAAGTCTAATGTTGCGGTTAGTTTTTATAAAAAATCTTTCTTTCTGTTTTCGAAAACCTGCTCTATTTTATGAAAATAGCCAGTTCAGTTTTGTCCATAACAAGGGTCCAATAATGGTGTATTTGGATGGGGCTCGAAAAAATCTTTTCAACGATATATTATAAGTCCAATTCCGATGAATAATGAGGAAGTTATGGCCATAATACTAAACTGGGTCCGGTTTGGTTCTTATATGCGGCCTAATGATCTAGAGGAGGGCCTATTATTAATTATTTTTTCTAAAGCTATTAGGATTGATTATAGTCTTCTAGAATTGTCTAGAAGGTTCTTTTAAATCCTAGTAGGATTATGATTGATAATTATGTATATGAGTTTTACTTGGAATAAAAGAAGTGTTTTATATGAAATACTCCCTCCATTTTTAAATACTTGCTCCATTTCTCTTTGCACGGAGTTTTAGGAGAAATTAGAGAAAGTAATAAAATATGGAGGTAGTGGGGTTGGTGGAAGAATAAAAAATTATAGAAAGCAAAAGTAGTGGAGAGAATTGGAGGAGAGAGAATATATACTGGGACCACTAGGTGAGAGAAATTGGTTAAATATTGTACAAGATTTCCAAATAAGGAAATGGATCAAGTATTTAAAAACAACCGCAAATGGAAAGTGGAGCAAATATTTAAAAACGGAGGGAGTACAGTTTTAGCCTTCGTACGGATTTTACGACTTAATTTTATTAAGAAGTGGATTCCGCGTTGAAAACGTGTCAAATTCCATTGCATCTCCAAACGACAAGTTCGTCGCCTGGCGACGAGCTCTGTTGTTGGCGACAAGATGTAGTTTTATTCCTTTTCAAACTCTAACTCTTTTCTATCAATTCCGGACTATTTTCTTATAAATAGGGTCCTTGGACCTCCGTTTTCAATAACCAGAATTCTCTAATTCTCTCTTCTCTCTCTTAAGCAATATAGCTTATTCTTTCTCCATCTAGCTTTTCTAAACTAGCCTTTTACAAAACACCATACTACACTCATTAGTACTAGAAACACCTAGCTAAGTTCGAAGTTGCTTTCGCCCTAGACGTGAAAGGTTTGATATTTCTGAGGGTTTGATCCCAAATCCCTATTTCAATTATTTAATTTAATTGTTTTATTTATTACTTTTCCTTGAAGTTACTAACGCGTGTATTTTGTTATTAAAAAGAGGTACGAGGCATTGAAGTAAGTAATTTAATTGCTTTATTGATCTTTTGATATAGAAATCATGCTTATATTATTATTTTGATTCCGAGTAACCGGGTATTTGGGTACCCGAAAAAGCGGGTACCTGGATCTTCGGGTAGTTTGTAAGTCGGCCCATGCCCGACCCGGAAATTTTGGGTACCCGAAATATCAGGTACCCGAAATTCCCGGGTCGGGTCATAGGGTACCTAAAATTATTAATCCACCAATTCTTTCTGTAAAAAAAAACTTGATTTCATAGTTTCATTCATCACTTTCATGTGAGTAAGTGAGTTTTATAAACTTTATTATAGTATAAAAAATCGTGATACTGTACAAACTTGTAATCAATTATCTACACACTTTAAAAAGAGAGAAGATAGTCGGAACTGTTCCTTATGAACAGTAGAGCAGTGTGCGGAGCCTTGCTTTAAGACTTGTGTGTTGATTTAAGCCTTTATAGATATTGTGCTTGCCTTGTTTTAAAGCTCCCCACCAAACCAAGAGACTCTCAAAGACGCCTACATCCTTGTCGGTTCCGCTTGTGCCCGCTTCGAAGTATCGGCCGTCACAAGCCTCGACCCTGCACTCGTTACTAACGATTGCCTCATTGAGATACCTTTGGTCCGTGTCGCTGTGTGCCCACGAACCTCTCTCACTCTAGGCTTGCGTTCTTGTTTCTAAAAGATAAGAGTGCGCCGCACGATCCGGTGTCAAACCACTCGGACCGTGACAGTCACTTTAAAAAGAGAGAAGATAGTCGGAACTGTTCCTTATGAACAGTAGAGCAGTGTGCGGACGGTTTTGTCCTCGGCTTGGGATGTTATTTGCGGTCCTGCCATTGGATCTTGACTTCCTTTGCTTTCCACCTCAGCTTTGTCTGTCTACTTTTCCTGAATTCATTTGTGTTTTCTCTCTCTTTCTCTTTCCTCCTCTTTGTCCTACCATTTTTCTACTTTTGCTTTTGCTTTTGCTTTTGCTTTTGCTTTAAAGCTATTTCACTCTTCCATTGAAGGTCATTCCGAGTTTTCTATTGAAGCGTGTCTGAGCTTACTTTCTTCCATTATAGCAAAGCTTTTTCCCGACTTTCCTCACAGCATCATCTCTACTTGCAACCATTCTCTCCATTTTTAGGGTTCAAAATGGAGCCGACAACGAGCGAGGAAGTAAGTGATTTGGAGCTTCTCATCCTCTTATTTTGTCGTTTGAGAGCACCTGAGTAAGTGTCAGTGATCTTCTCATCCATGGAAGCGTACCTCTAGGTTCTCCATTGAAGCAGCTTCTATGTCTATCTATTTTCCATCCACGCCGCTACTGAGGTAAAGATAATTTCTGATCTTTGTATAATATTCTTATATCAATTTCACAATCTAGGGTTTATTGTTGCTAAACTACAAACAATATCTATTTTTGCCTTATTTAAGGTTTTTTTTCCCATCAATTTGTTTTTTTTTTCCATCTATATGGCGCAAATTATTCTACCAATTAGGCTGCTATGCACAAGAATGAATATGGTTTGGTTTGGTTTTTCATTTTCATTTTCAATTGTGTTTGATTTTAGGTGTTTTAGGAATTAGGATAATGGGGTTTCTAATGCGTTTTGTTGATTAGTTGACAGATTGAGGCTACAGCTCTGGTGGTTTGATCAATCTCAATATTGAGGGTTTGATCAATCTCAATTACGTGCTGCAATGTGATTTTGGTAATGGCGGTGAGGTGGTCGGTTTTCAGAGGAAAGGTACATTGTAGCGGTTTCAGTTGATGAATTAGGTCGGGTTTACAATTTTGTTAACGAAGTGGAGTGTCATTTGATTGCCTGATTTGGTTAGTGATATTAGGTATTTAAATTAATTAATTTATGAGAGTTTGGTTACTGCATTTTTTGGGTTTAATTTAAAAGGTGTGTCGGTATATTGTTTTTTTTACTGAACCCCCCTAGACACAAATCATGTTTTTTTGATTTTATATTTCATAAATTCTATTAATTTAACGAACGTTTATGAAATCAGAAATGGCCTTTCTGATTGATTTAAGAGATTCTGATTTTATAAATGGAGATTCTGATTTCATAAACTCTATTAAATTTTGTTTTTTTTGGTTGAGATAATCTGATCATTTAGTAATTATGATTTTTTGATTTTTGTTCTTACTTTTGGTTGAGCTACTCTTTACTAATTACAAATTTGCTAAGTTATCCTTCGATCATTTACTTTTAGGGTTGTATTAAAGAATTTTATAATTCAGAAATTGGGTTGATTGTTGTATAGTCATACCTTGTGCTGCGTTGTGTCTCGCCCGTGGTGATGTTGATTAACCCAATTTAGATTATTAAAATCCATGATGTTGAAAACATACTCAATAAAAGTTAGTTTATTATGAATGAGACTATGGCAGAATTATGAATTGTACTTTAATTCAATTCCGTATTCAAATTGAATGACATAATTAGGAAAACTTCATCACACACACATTAAAATCGTAATTAGATATATTAGATCCCATATCTTTGTTAGAGTTTGATTGAAAAATTTCATTTAAATTTTTTTTGAGGATTAGAGCTCAATTGATTTGAACAAATAAATTCCAAGTTAGCCTTTATTTTGTTTCCTTTGTTGTATCTATTTAAATTTGTGTTTTAATAGATTGATTGATTTACAATTTTATATTGATGCATTTGATCCTTTTTCATTCAGTTTTTGTTTTGTTTTTATTTTTTTACCCTGTTTGTATTAGTATCCTATTGCAATTTTGTCATTATTTTTTTTGGGTATGTTTATCTGAGCATACCCATTGAATTTTTGTTGTTATTATTGTTGGTTACTTGGTTTGGTGGGTGTTTTGTATGTTTTTAGGGTATCCAATTTGTCTTTTTTTTTCTTCCTTTTCCTACTATAAATTAGTCAAAATTTATATGGGGCTTTGTTTGTGATTTTGTAATTATATTTGTACTTGGAAGCTTTAATTATGTCATTGCACTCTTTAGTTCTCTAAGCCTTATTTATTACGGAGTATTATTCTTCAAGACTTTGAAAATGAGAAGTTGATGTAGCTTGAGGGGCGAGGGTATTACTTTAAGTAGGGTGTTCCTGCCATTACTGACTTTCTAGCTGGCATCTATGCTTTCAAGGGTGCATAGATAAAATGGTTGATACATAATCATGTTTTTCTATTTATTTTTAGCCCGTTGATTGACAAACTTTTACCTATTGTAGTTCCAAGGAGTGTTTCAAGGAATCTTGGAGCTTTCATAAATCAGTGCATTCAAAGGCAAATACATCTTCTTTACAAACTAATGTTGTTGGGGACAAAAAAAAGTGAAGGTTGGCTTTATTGCTTACAAAAAGGACAATCTCAGACTTCAAAACTTCCGTATTTCAATTGGACAGAGTATCATGTCAACATTACTCTTTTGTGGATACATTTCTGATTACAACCCTTCTTTTTACTTATAATTTTGTATATGTTTAAACTATGATTTACTATTACTGTGGTTATGAATGAAAACACGCATCTTGGTGTTGACATCTCATAAATTTTGACCTTTACTGAACTGGAACCTTTTCCCATGTAGATCATTAAGGTCGTACCCCATATCAAGTTACCGTACTATACCAAAGCACATTGAGCTACCTGATTGGGATATGGATGTAAGTTTTTTCTTTCTATTGTCAACAAGTGTATATCCCTTGAATGTTGGTTTTTAGACAATTACTGGCGATTAGACAATGATGATGACCCCTTGGAGATACTTGTTTTCCTTTATGCACCAATATATATATGAGCTCTGATATTTATCAATCTGCAACTTATGAAGTCTTTATGAGATACTTTTAATACATATAGGGTATCCCTAAGATTGAGCCTGAGAGCAGCCTGCAGCACATTGTCGAGGTATGCTTTATTACTTGGCTCCTCATACTTGGGTAGACTTATAGAGATTAATTGTCCAATGAACTCTTTTTTTTAAAAAAATTATTATCCTTTTTTGTTTTCTTATTGGCTTCTTATTTTGAAGATTAAAACTCAGAGCTGATATAGAGAATGAGGGAGACTTGCAAGGTAAGTTCATTTTGTTTATTTTGGTTTATATTATTGCAAGTCCTTAGAATTTTTTTGCTTTTTAAAGAGTGCTTCATATCTGTGAGTGTTTTGTAGTGCTTATAAATATAAACTGAAATTCCATGAGGTTGTCCTTGTGATGATGCAAACTTGCAAAGCATTTTATCTCTTTTGTTTCATACGAAGTATCTTCTTAGATGGAAGATATGTTTGATACAAGTCTAATTACTAATTTTAAGTGTTAGCTTATGATATCTTATGAAAGCTATAGACTAGAGTGGATTTGGTTCTAAACAGCTGTATAATTACATGTGTGGGTAACCTTGCTGGAGAATGGTAAGTTTACATTACGTTGATCTTAGTGAAACTGCATTAGGTTCACTATTCTAGATCAATTGTGTTGTTAGTGGTTTTACAAGCCTATTTCATGTGAAATTTGTATATATAAGCTTACCCTTGAATAATGGTATTCATCCTAGACGCCTTATGTATTGTTTACTACCACCTTCCAGTGGGGGTGGGGTAAGGGTTTTGGATAGTTGATTGTCTTTGGAATAGTGTAAGACGTTACTATCCTCTCGATTAGCTAGCATTTGTGGACTGACTGTTCACCTTTGGTAGGAAGTCTTGGCTAGGTCTTGATGTTATCTACAATCAGCTTACCGTGATACTCTATTGCCCTTTTCCATTTAATTTGCTAAATTGAACTCTAACAATCGCTGTCTCCAGATTGCTAGGTAGGTTTTGGATGCGGCTGCGCGTATTATTTGACCATGCATTACAATAGATGAGATTGATCGAGTAGTCTATGAAGGTACTATAGCTGCAGGTTTGTGTTGATTTATGACAGGAATTAAATAAGTTGTACTGTCCTTTGTATACTCTTATTTTTTATTTGGAAATACAATTGTAAATCGTATTTTTGGTCTGCTGACTTCTTTGTTAAATTTCAGAGCAAAAGAGGATGAGATCGAGTAGAAGGAACGAGTTCAATCTATATTCACCCTCTTATGGAGTGTGCTGCAGATGTCAACTTCAGAATCCTCACCGTTCAAATGGATAAGTTCTATCTTTAAGAGTTCATCTTTTGAAGATAATCCTGAAATTAAGGTTTTATCTGCTCTACACAAGGAGCCTTTTGATAACTCCCGGATTTATGTCCTGATTGTGTCAATATAGCTCATTTTAGTTATTCTACAATACATTGAAGCACACCTCATGTTTATAGATCTCAAAATCTCTTTATGTTCTTCTAGGCTTCTACTTTGTTCACACTTGTGACCATAGGATCGTCATCAACTTGACAGTTGGAATCCTACCTCATGTTGACAATTTTGCCCACATTGGAGGCTTTATATCAGGATTTCTATTTGGGTTCATGTTACTTTTATGCCCTCGATTTGGGTGGTTGGAGCATGACAAAATGCCGGAACATCCTAACATGCACGTGTGAAATTCAAATACTTCTCGTATGTATTGGTGTTACTACTTCCTGCTGGGTAAGTCTTTTCGTCATGATAAAAGTCATGATGAATTATTTTTTCAAAAAACTATTAATGATGGGTGTAGATTTTTCCTTAGAGATCATACATCATGTAGTTATATAAATATGCCCTGTTTATGTCTTCTGTAAACTTTTAATGTCAGTTACATGTACTTTATGCTTTCTTCCTAATGACACTTAAAAATAAATGACCTTTTAGGTGCATCCTTTTAATTGGCAGTAGGAAGGAGTTAAATTTGCTAATAGATTACTGATCATACGCTTTAAAACATTATATCACAAAGCTTTAAAATAAATACTCAGCACAACCAACTTGATTACCTACTTTGAAATTTTCAATGTTCCATAAAGGAGTGCCTTTTATGAGATGCTGTGACGTCTCTTTCTAGTATGAAATTTACTTATTATATATTGCCTTTTTTCTTCTACCATTCTAATTATTATTTGTTGTTTTATTAATCCTGTTTGTGTAGTGTACCACCCTTTAATTATATTATCATATTTTTGTTGGGTTAAAATATCTAGAATATTTATTTCTGCCCATAAAAATTATGGTGGTGGATAGACAGAAAGATTTAGAAGTATTGTAGGAGCTGATATGATGAAGAGTGAAGAGAGAAAAGAAAAGGTATACTTGAAATCAAAACATATTATGAAGTGTACATACCGGGTTATGTAACGGAGCTGATAATATTTGAGGGATGAAAAGAGGGTGAAATGAACAAAGGTCATGGAACATATAATATTGGGTTAATCAACTCAATTTTTTGATTAAATTGATTATAACATTGTATTTGATTATACAAAGGTCACTTGTATAATATTGTTTTAGCCCTAAAATGAACAAAGGTCACTCATCCAAAATAAACTTGAGACCTAGATTAATCTAATATTTGAGGGATGAAAAGAGGGGTGAAATTAAGGATGGAGTTGGTAATTTGTTGTTTCTTTTTGTCAAAACTGCAAGTGTTTGGGAATCACTCAAGGATTCTGTATATGGGTGTTCTAAAGTGTGAAAGATCTATGATTTTTGTTTGAACTTAAAGAATATTATGCCCCGAAGGAAACTGGTATCCGAGAGCTTAATATTCTACTATATTTGTTGGTTTATCCAGGCAAATTTTTGGGTATTTTGCTGCTATATAATTCTCAGCAGGTAGAGTGTAGTACATACCTTTAGCTGTTGTGTAATACTTTCTCTACAGTTAGAATTTAATACATGCCTTCTGTTGTGTAATGCTTTATCTGCAGTTAGAATGTAGTACATAGTACATACCATCTTCTATTGTGTAACGCTTGCTTTAAATACTGCCTCTTACCTAGATTATTTTGAAATCATGTATGAGAACTATACTTTGTTCAAGTTACGATGACTTACATTTGATTTTTAATTTCCAGAACAATATAATCATGAGCACATATTTAGTATTCTTCGATTTTTAAAGGTGCAGCCATGGGGAAATTGGGCATCGTACTCTTCTGCTCCTTTTCTTTTCCATATTTGGAAGATTGTTATATGAAATATAGAAACTATTTGTTCATTAGTTTAGTAAAGTTGCTTAATGGAAGATTAAAACTTGTGCCTTCTAACAAATTTCTTTTTATTTTATTTTTATTATTTTAAGGTTGGATTATTAGCTTCTAGAACTAGGCGAGCTAGGTATATATATATATATGCTCTAGGAAATGACTAAACTTTGCAAACTTATAAAAGAATGGAGAAAGAAAGAGTAGGTTCATTTTTAAGAGGCCATTTCTAGAGTGAAATTGAGGATAATTATAAAATACATTAAATATAATTACTAAAGAAGGTAATGGGGTAGGAGGCAATCAGGATTAAACTAACTAAAGTGTTCAAACTGTAAAATAGGAGCTAAATGGAGGAAAAAGTATCAAAAAGCTTTGAGGAAGAATGATAGGAAGGAGAAAAAAGATACTACGTAGTAAAGATGGAGAAATATGCAAGAGAAGATAACACACAATGAAAAGCAAGGAAAAATTGAAGAGAACTATAAGAAGGGTGATAAAAAGAGAAGATGGGAGTAGGAACAAGTAGGAATTGACTTTATAAGCCAAACCTAAAACAGAGAGTAATCCCTACTTTTTAAAAAGTGGAAAGATGTTCTTATGAACAGTGTGAAGACTATTATACCCTTAAAAAAGTTTATTTACCTATTTACCCCCAATTAAAATTTTGATACATTTGACCATTCATATCTTTTTACTCAATGTGGCTCTATCGATAGTCCGCTTCATCTTCTGATCTTCTCCCCTCTTTAATGTTTATTTGTTTGTCTTCCTCTCCACCCCAACATACCAACTCCTCATTTCTCAATTTCCTCTCTATTTTCTGCTCCTACTTTCTATCAGGTTCACCGACCAACCCCTTTTCTGGTTCTCGGAAAATCTAGATCCTCCGCCGGATCGGAATTGCCTTGAAGCTGACATGTCAATCTCCATTCCGGTGCCCCCGGTCACCAGGCCACCTACCGCCGCTGTTCTGCTTCCACAAATGGTGAGTGGATTATTAGAAACGTAATCTTCGCTTGATTTTGCTTAATTTATGTATTGAGAGCTGTTTAATTGTTATGCTTTATTTTTACTAAGTTGAAATTTTGTGGTTATTATTTGTTGAATATTGTTTATAATCTTGATTGATGATATTGGCATGCCTCGAAAATTGAGGTTTGGTAACTATTTTTGATTCAGATTTCAATCCGCATGCACACATTCAAGCAATGAATCGTGCTCAACGAAATGAACAATCAAAATGTCTTTTGGTTTGAAGAATGCATTTGTTAAAATGAAATGTTGATATAAATCAGTTGAATTTTCATTTTAAATTCTGATGTTGGTTTTGATTTTTGCTTTTTAGGCTTTGCCAAATCTGCAAATTATTGATTACCCAAGCTTCAAGCTTGTTCTTGTTACGGTATTGTTGTTCCCTTGTCTGAAAAAGATGTTAGTTTCTTAATTCCCCCAGTCCCCGCGATTGTTAGTTTCTGCTTCAAGCTTGTTCTTGTTACACTATAAATTAATTATTGTCTGATTAGGAGATATGATAGTTGGCAATAAATAAGAACTCCAACTCTAAGACCTGCTGAATTTTCTTTTAGAGTAAGAAAGATAGAACCAAGTTTGTGTTTCTTACTTGTAAGAGTATTGTGTATCTTAATGGAAAAATGCATGAGACTAATTTCAGAAAGAGGAAAAGCGACTATCTGCCAGTTTTATTTAATATCTAATACTTCGTATTAGATGAGTTAATTTGGTGGCCTTTGGTGTTTTTAGCTCTATAGTTCTGTTATTATTCACTATAAACACCAAATGGTAAATGGTTTAGTTTTGTTGTAGAGGAGAGAGAAAATAGTAGTAGTAGTAATACAGTGCATCATTTTTTTCTCGTGTCTAATTCTTTATTGGGTTGGGTCTTAATTTATGGTTTTTGATAAGTGAAAAAATCCCAAATATTTAGATATCTCTTGTAATTTTTGACATTTAAATCCCACGGTGTTTTACAGTCATGCTATTAGCAAGAGTAGTTCAATCTCTGAAATGTGATTTAGCAGTAGTTAATTTGAACACCCATTTACGATTCGGGTTTGGATGGTTGTATGACCTTGGTAGTTTATTCAATTATTATGAGTTGAAATGCAATTTGGAGCAAAGATGAAATATGATAAGGAATGATAAAATCTTGGAAACGTGATTTAAGTGATCTAAATGAGCCTGCTGGAAGGAAATGTAAAGTTTGTGCAATCTTATTGTTTATGTTGTAAAAACATAAGAAGAGGTGAATATGCATGCTATTTGGAGACACCCATATCCAATTAGAGTTTGGGAGAGCTTAAGATTGGTAGTTGACAGATGAATGCAATATAGGAAATGTGCTTAACAAGCTCGACTGGTGTTTGAAGATGATCAACGATACTGAGATTGAACAATTGCTTGGTTGATATGGAATAGCAGAAATAATGTATGTGGGTCCTCTCCTCTTCACCCTACTGAAGTGGTAGATGCTGCTATCTCCTTGAATGTAGCGTTTTGGGAAGCGAAGGAACAAAAGAGGGTGCTTTAGGTGTGGTGAATAATATTGGACATTATAAGGACTTACAATGGCTTTCTTCAGAGTTCGGTATTTTGATCAGCGTTCTATGGCACACAGTAATTATGTCTCAAAGATGAAGTACTATAGCCTTATGCATTTGATTAATAGGTTGTTTGAAGATGTATTTTTCTTTAGATCTTGTGTCATTGTCTTATTTTTTATCCCATGAAGCTTATTGTTTATGATTATAGGGAAGAGTTAAGATGTACTCATACATCATTAGTTAAATAGCTCATTTATTGTATATGTTATCTCCTCCATTACATGGTCTAAAGACTATCTACTTGCAGGTAAATATACTAATTTACAAAGCCTTTTGCCAGGGTGTGTTCAATGAGAATTTAGTACCTTTGAAATATATTTATAGCTTTTAAAAAGTTTCAATTGTACATAACCGTGTGCTTTTCCCTTCAGAAACTATGACAAAACACAACTCACAATATTACTTGGAAATATATGAGGGAATTTATACCATGCATAGTCAGCCATGGTAAACCATAGTGACTAGGCTTAGTCATGATTAATCATTTTAATCCTTAAGCAAGTGTTACATTAAAGCACTTTTGAGCCCACAACCATCTCTAAAAAAGGGTGTTTTTGAAAATAAATTACCACATTCCACTTTCCATTGACTTGTTGGAGACAATTACACAAACCTCTCCATATGACCATAACACTCTTATTGTAGTCATGGAACGATTTAATAGCTTTTATTGCCTTTTTATATAGTAATACATTGGTGAGTTATATTATAATCATTTTCAAAATAAATAATGTAACACAAACGTGCTTCTACAATAAATATATAAATAATCTCTATTGATCAATCTAATACAAGTATAATGCAACAACAACTAAAAGTCCGTAAACTATGAGGTTCAAATACATAATTCTCTCACGAAGGCTAGCTATACCGCGCGCATCGCGCGCGTGGGCTCCCCTAGTAACAATAAAAAGAAAAGCATTGCTAAAGCCATTTTTTAAGTATATTTGAGGAATAGATATTAAGCATTTTTACTTTGTAATTTATTTTTTTTTCTTTAAATTTCATTATCATTTGGTAATTATTTTGTTGTTTTTGCTTCTTTTGTTGCAAGGCTTGCCAAAATGATGGCCACATAAGCGTTTTTTTTTATATAAAAAGAAAAAGAAATGGCTACATAAGGTTTTTTTTTTAGGGGGAAATGGCTACATAAGCTAATTACAGTTTCTTAAACTAATTTCTTAAGAGACAGAGAGCACTTAAGAGGATCATTTAACAAAAATAGTGATACCACTTAAGAAAGATCACTTAAGAAATTAAGAGAATTAGCTTAGAAAAAAGTTACTAAATTCCGTATATATAGAGAGAGAGCACTTATCACTTAAGAAGAAAGACCACGCACTCAAGAAGAAAGAAAGATCATTCAGGAAGAAAGATCACCTAAAAAAGGTCAATTAAGAAGGAAGATCAATTTAGAATAAAGGTAACTTAAGAAAAGAAAAATCCCCTAAGAAAATCAAGAGACCACTTAAGAAAAATCACTTAAGAAAATCAAGGCGGTTATAGCAATTAGCTTAAAATAGTGAGAGAGTGAGAAAGAAACCACTTAAGAAAGATCACTTAAGAAAAAAGATCATTTAATAAAATCAAGGAAATTATCTTAAGAAGAAGAAGAAGAAGAAGAAGAGATAGAGATAGATAGATAGAGAGAGAGAGAGAGAGAGAGAGAGAGAGAGAGAGAGAGAGAGAGAGAGAGAGAGAGAGAGAGAGAGAGAGAGAGAGAGAGAGAGACCATTTACCATATATCACTTAAGAAAAATCAGTGCAATCAAATTAGGAGAGTGAGAAAGATTACTTAAGAAGGCTCACTTAAAAAATCAAGGCAATTATCTTTGGAGAGAGATACAAAGACCACTTATGAAAGATCACTAAAGAAAGTCAGGGCAATAAGCTAAGGAAAAAGGCTTACTAAAATGTGTGTGCGAGATAGAGATCACTTAAAAAATCATGGAAATAGCTTGAGAGAGAGAGAGACCTCTTATGAAGGATCATTTAAGAAAATCAATTCAATTAGTTAATATGTGTATGTGTGTGTGCGTGAGAGAGAGAGAGAGAGGGAGAGAGAGAGAGAGGGAGATAGATGCCACTTATTAAAGACCACTTAAGAAAATTAGGGGAATTAGCTTTAGAGAGAGAGAAATACCATTTAAGAAAGATCATATAAGGCAATAAGAACAATTAGCTTGGGAAAATAGAGGGTACACAACACCAATGAGGGAAGAAGAGATAGGAAAAAATTTACCAGAAGTGATAAAAGGATATGGGAAAGCTAACATGAATTGACTTTATAAAATCAACAAATAACACCATAAAAACAATTTGGATATAAATTTAATTAATACTTTTAATATCAACAAAACTACAATTTTTTTTTTTTATTAATACTAATATACTTTTTTAAAGTAAAAGGAGGAAATATTGAATCTCTTTAAGAAAGCATTATAAGAGGCAATAATCTAAGGCATATTATAGTAGTTGGTAACCTTAAGGAATTTTTCTAGATTTCACAGAAGGCATTGAATAAGAAGAAAATTTTTAGGATTGTTAGATGCTATATTTATTATATAGAATATGTTGTATGAATTTCAGTTATTGAGTAAATAAATTGTGAAACTTTGTCACATATAAAAATTTAAAATTCGCTTAGACTAATCTTTAGTTTTATTCTAAGTGTTTTAAATAATTGCTATAATTTTCTTAAGCGTTTGAATATGGGATTGGTTTCTAACTTTGATTTGAAAAAAGATACTTAATAATGGTGTTTTAGAGTTCATTCTCTGTCTTATATTTTAGATAGGAGTTCATGATAGATTTCAGGTTTAATTGTATTTAAGAGTATTGTTATGTATGAGATCATTTCTGTTTTATGAGATTTGGTTTAATGGTTTTGGGTTTAATCTACAGTTGTACCGATTTGACACTGGTTACGAACAAAACAAAGGTTATTGTCATGTCATTACAGTTGGATTTTGATTAGAAAAGTTACATTTAACTGCTCAACATAATTAAAGCAGTCACCAAGAAAATGCCAGAAGTTAAGAAGCAAGAGCATCAGAACAGTACTTCTGTTTTGATTGGAAATTATAATAAACATAATGAATAATAAAATCTCACATCTTAAACAGTAGCTGATATTGTTAACCTATGCTTTAGTTTTGTGTTGTGACAGAATATGTATCCACATGATGAAAATGGAAATGGTAATTGATCAGCAGAAGCTTTGTCTCCGCCTCCAACAGAAATTCTTCCAGATATAGTACCAATTAAGGCTGAACTAGATCCGCACAAAGAAGAAACGTGACCCTATGGATATATGCGGCAGTGGGATCAAAGGTCAAAAGATTCAGCTGCTTCGTAATCGCTTCAAAGTGAATATTTCTAATGTCTAGGGCTATTTCTTTCACTATCCTTGAAAATTTTCCAGAGGTTACAATAGAACATTTAATCATATAACAAGATTAATCACTTTATACTATTTAGTTTGCATAATCAATTTTGTGATTATGTGTAATTGCATGGTTTGCATTTGCTGTTTTAAACAGGACACTGGACCCAAGTTAGCTTAAGGAAGGGAGCCCAAAACCAAATCCAAAAAGCGCGGGAAAATCAGCTCTAAAGAAGATTATGGTTCTCTTATCAAGGGTAAGTCCCTTTCAGAATTCAGAATCTATTAGGCTTTTTTTTAAAAAAATAAATAAATTTTTAGGTAATCAAGAAAAACTTAGTTGTTTGCATAAGTATTTAGTTTGTATTACTATTATATGTTTTATTACACTTGCCGATGCTTCCTTGTCACGTAAGCCTACATGAGATTATCTACAGACTAAAGTAGTGTAAATTTGCTGCTTTTGCTGAAATAATGATGCTTTTTGTAAGAAAAGAAGTAAGAAGAAACCATTTTTCCATCTGAAAATATGGAAAGTATTTTGAAAAGTTGATAGTAATTTCCCCATAAGTTGCTCCTCAAGGAAACAAGTCCGAAACCTGGGATCGGTTAATAATTAGATGTGTACAATTTAATTGTATATAATATGTTGCTTGCAAACACACATCATTATTATATTAGACAAATACAAAGTAATGTATGTGGTTCAAATATAGGTAGATTTTTATCTCCTTATATTTTCACTTCAAGATATTTGTGAAGAATTTAGTCCACAAACAATAGCATTAGATCAGATGTAAAACTATAAAAGAAATTAATTAATGCATGTCTCAGTGGCATTGGGGCCATTCTCTGGTTTCCTGTTCTAAACATAGTTTTGTCTTGTATTATCTGTGAATTATGGTAAATTTTTTCCTATTAACCCCTGTAATTTGCATAGTTTTAAATCTTGTTATAAATACATATTTGTGCTATTAGGTAAAACTAGGGAAATTTCTGCTTGTCTGGTGAAAAGGCTAATGCTTCAGCTGAAAAACCTTCGGGTTCAGAGAAGTAGAAAGAAGATCTTGAAGCAACAATTTTCTTGCTTTGCAACCGCGTCAGAGTTCACTCCTATATTCCAGAAATAGCTAATATTCTTAAGGGGGTTGCTTTGCTGCAAGTTTGTGAGAACAAATGGGCCGCTGTGAGATTAGATTTCCCAAATTGAGAAAGGCAACTAATGAAGTATTGCTTAATTTATACCGTGTAACTTATATTTTTTTTATGGAAATCAGTTAGATTCTTGAATAAATTTTCTCTATGGAACATCTGAAAAAAAGACATTGAGACTTGTTTGTAACTTATAATGAAGGACTAGGCGTGAACTTTATTTTCAATGATGCAGTTTTCTACTATTTCATATCAACATTTATAATCATCTTTGATTAGTTGTCTCTAATTGTCATCTTAATTTGAGGTGATAAAAGTATAGTTTTAACCAAGAAAATATGAATAGTGTGTTTGTTACTCCGTAGTTAACAAGATGGTGCCCTAAGCCAATTTCGTGCAATATTCTAGGTAATCCTGTATGCGCCAGCATTATACTGGTTTAAGGACAGTTAAATTTTATTCATCAATTTTTAATTGTTACAAATATGAAAAATGCTCTATTGCAGTTTACTTTATATTTGCCAATTTTCAAGTTATGAGGATGGATTGATGAACTGAGAGTTCGATGGGTGTGCTTTTAACATATTTTAGTTTGATGAATCAATTATTCATAAATTTGCATATTTACACATAAACTATGTGAAGGTCTTATTTATATAGTTTAGTTTTTTATATCGAGTAACCTATTATGGTGCTAATATTATAATTTGTATACATCGCCTCTACTGAGGTGATTATGTAAAGTCAAGATTTGAAATGGATGGATTTGTTTGATGTGAAATTATTTATTTTAGGTTTATAATTTAGATTTTGGCAATCAAAATCTATACTACTCTATTTCATGCCTATTTATTTTGTAGGTTGGTTTCTAATACGGAGTGCATAATAGTCTATATAAATCTTTAATTTCTTCATATTATTTTGCTCAATTTATGGAGCTGATTTCTTATTATTAAACAACTATAATTATTACACCATCCTATTAATATCACCTCAACGAAATATGTTGAATATTTTTGTTGGTTAGTACTTACGATGTAGTTATTGTGTTGATATATTGGATGATACACCTATCACGCATTTGTAATATTTTAAGGAACTAAAGATGGGAAGAGAGAGATCATTTAAGAAAACTAAGGAAATTATCTTAGGGGAAAGAAAGATGACTTAAGATAGAAAAAAAAACAAAAAAAAATTAGGACAATTAGCTTAGAAAATAGACTTACTAAAATGCACGCGAGATAGATAAAGACTACTTATGAAAGAACACTTAAGAAAATAAGACAATTAGGTTAAGAGAAAGAGAACACTAAAGAAAATCAGATCAATAAATATAGGGGAGAGAGAGAGATCAATTAAGAAAAATCACTTAAGAAAGTTAGGACAGTTAGCTTTGGAGAAAAGACCAATTAAGAAGAAGAAAAAAAAAGGGGTGGGGGGCAATGAACTTAGAAAACCACAATTATTAGCTTAGGAAAAGGTTTACTAAAATGCTTAAGAAAACACAATTAACTTAAGAAAACACGATTACCTTCCTTAAAATAAGGGGTAAGCTAACATGTATTGCCTTTATAATATCAATAAAACCATAAAACAATTTGGATATAATTATAATATCAGCAAAACCAAAATTAATACTTTCAATACTATTTTTTTTTAAGTAACATAAAGAAGGAATATATTGAGTCATTTTAAGAGAAAGGAACCACTTAAGAAATATCACTTAATAAAATAAAAGAAATTAACATAAGAAAAAAGACTTCCTAAATGCTAGAAAGAGATCACTTAAGAAATATCACTGAAGAAGAAAAGTCACTTCTTTTTTTTGAGGAAAAAAATCGATGTAAAAGTAGGATCACTTTTTAAAAATAAACAACAGATAATAAAATCAAGAAACCATTTTAAAAAGATCACTTAAGAAAATCAGGGTAATAAAGGAAATTAGCTTAGGAGAGAGAGATGGACCACATAAGAGAGATACTACGTATCACTTAAGTAAGTTAGGGCAATTAGCTTAAGAAATTAAAACTCTTTTTACCTAGGAAAAATGATTATAAAAATGGTAGAGAGAGAGAGAGAGAGGACCACACAACAAATATCACTTAAGAATAACATGGAAACTAGCTTAAGAGAGAGAAAAAAAAACCCACTTTAAAAAATCAAGTCAATTGTCAATGGAAAAGACTTACTAAGATGTTGGACCATTTAGGCTTATTACGTTTTCTTGAGCTAATTTCTGAAGAAAAAACACTTGAGAGAGAGAGATCACATATAAAAGATCTCTTAAGAAGGAGAATGACCACTTAAGAAATCATCAAATGATACTATCATCGTATTAATAGGCATCTTGTATTATTAAGAAATCAAACTTATTAGGTTACTTTTTTCTAATACGATGTTTTTACTTCTTTCTGATATGATGACTATTATGAAATCAGTGGATGTTTTTAGACCTAAGATTTTAAACGGGTTGTTATTTTGAACGAAACAACACATTATGATGGCTGACAGCCTGACATTCTAAATTCTAACTAACAAGAAAATATTAAAATACTTGAGAGCTTCATTATCTAAAATCTAGCAGGATTTGTAAATTAAAAATACCTTTAATCATAACAATTTAAATGCATATAAAATTTAAACACTTCGCAATTAATAATTGAGTGAGGCATAGCTTGGAGAAAGCCCTTTGTTTTTCTAGCTTTTAATGTTTCCCTATAACATTGGTTGTATCAATTTAAATGCATACAAATTTGTACACTTTGCAAACAAAATTTACATGTAACAATTTCATCGTATACATAATTTACGGATAATTATTGCCGCCATTAGGGGACCGCGCGCGCAGCGCGCGATGCCACAACTAGTATTAAAAAAAACAAAGAATTACAACAAAATAAACATCACGCAAGCCTATAATTCAAAAAATTAAAGAAATTGCAAAGTTGCAAACTTTATCATACTTGGGAAAACACCATTAACAATTATAAATTAACATCTTCTTTCAAAATCAAATTTGAATAAACTTGGACCCATCATGTTGTTTACAACAGTAGATCTTGTACTCGTGGTTGTCGTTGCGGTGGACGGCAGGAGATCCTGTGTTGCTTCAATTTTCTGGGTTGATAAAGGGTATTATTCTATCGCGCGGTGGCTGAAGACCATGTGAGACTGTAAGTAAGATGAAGGAAAGAGAGAGAGAGGGCGGATGAAACTATGAAAGCATTGGAGGACAGAGAGAGGGATGAAAGGGATGGAGGACGGAGAGAGGAAAGAGTGCGTGTGGTGGCTGCTAAAGGGGAAGTGGGAACATAAAAGCCTAGGGTTTTACTAGCAGTACATATATATTTTTTACAACAACAAAAAAAAATAGCGGGTCAGCGGGTACCCGACTAGCATATAAGACGGCCCATGACCCGACCCGCTACACATCTTTTTTACCGGGTCAGGTACCCGACCCGGAAAATTTGAAAAAAATAAAAAAAATACCCGCCAGAAATTTACCGGGTCGTCGGGTCGCTCGGGTCGGGTATGTTTGAACACCCCTACCTAGTATCATGTTAGGATGTTTTATTGATTCCTAGTATCATGTTTAGGGTAATAATTAAGTTTTTTATATCAATTATGATTTCTATGATGCTTCCTATTTTCTTTCCTAATATCATGTTAGTATCATGTTAGGGCTAAAGTTTTGATCTTTGATGTTTATTGATATGCTAGGATTTGTTATTAGTCTTGTTAGTATCATGTCTAGGATCTTGATATTATTATGCTTTAATATGATTACTTTAATTATGATTTTTTTTATTTTTATAATTGTTATAATTATTGTTATTATTATGATGATTATCATATTGCTTGATATATATTATTGTTATTTCTTGATCACGCCTTTTATGCATGTTTAAAGGGAATTTGTACTTGTAATCACGCTTAATAAGATAATTAATAATCTTGTTTAGGGTTAATATGATTATATAATTCAAGTGATCGCCAATAATAGTTTTGTTTGTGCATTAATATTCAACCAACATAGATAAGCAGGTTTAGGGTTAACCTAATGATTGCATGTTCGTCAGAAAGCGCACATGAATATGAGTAGAATAAAGTAGAGGCCTATTTTATAGGGCGAGTTCTTTCTCTTTTAGATTGGATTTGTACCCTCATCCCCGAACACCAGTCATGGTTCCAGACCTATTGGAGTTGACGATCTCATGGATCGTTAAGGGGTGTAACCTTCACCCTGTGAACGGTTTACAAGTTCCTAAAACTTGTTGGCGACTCTTTTGCTCTAGCTTCTTTCCCTTTGGACGCCACCATGCTTAAGTGTATGATCACAGTGGGGTTCAAGTTTGGGGTAATGCTTAAAATATTCCCTACAGTTTTTGGCGACTCCACTAGGGAGTATTTCAATTTTAATTCCTAAAATTTGTTTTGCCAATGATTTAGAATGAGTGGATAAGACTTGAAAAGTTTTAAGTATTTCATGTGCGTAATTTTGATTAATATTATTGGCATAAGCATAAAAAAGGTTCTCATTGGAAAGACCATCTTTAATGAGTTAAAAACATAGGATTTTTACACGTAGGAAATTTGAGAAATATCTTTCACAACAAGAATCGAAATAATACCGCAAAAACTGGAAAATTCTAAGAACATAGAAAGCTGCTGAGGCATGTAGGAACTAGCGCTGAAAAAATAGAGTTCGTCTCCTGAGAAATAGCCTCGTCGCCTGGCGACAACCTTGTCGTCTGGCGACAGAGCTATTTTCTGGCGACAGACTCTGTTGTCTCGCGCCGTGTTCTTCCAATACCAAGCCAGAACTTTGCCTTCTTGTTTTGACTGGTTCTAGCACTGTTGGCTCGATTCTACTTCCTGATTGAGTTTTTCTGTTTTTTCTTAAACCCATATGTGTTCTACATATGGACATAACCCTCTAGGAATTCATGCTCCATCTACCCAATCGAACGCTCCTGACAACGAAGGGTACATCCGAGATTTTTGAATTCACCAAACCATGAAAGCGAGTTTAACTCGCGGGGTCCCATCCACACACGCCAACCCTTCCAAAGGTAGGTGCATCCGGACTCATAACCATGGACCCTATTTGACTAACCTATATCCTTGAACTTTAGAGAACTAGAGCCATGGTTTGGTTGCAAACTCATTGCATCATATTGTGCTTACTTGACTACTTGTGCATTCTT